GAAGCAGTGCGTCGATTGATTGACAGTGTGAATTTATTCTATCCACACATGACTATCATTGTTGCGGACGACTCGTTACAAATAGAGAAAATATCTAAACCAAATGTTAAACATTATTTGATGCCATATACATCGGGATATTTTGCTGGACGTAACTTAGCACTGAGCCAGGTCCAAACAGAGTTTGTGCTCTACGTCGATGATGACTTTATTTTTACGAATGAAACAGTGCTCGAGAAAATGGTGGACAAATTAGAAAACTATCGTATAACGTTGGTTGCTGAGGCGGTTCACAATGGAGTGATTATTGCCGGTCGTGCAAATATGATCGAAATAGGTTATTCCAAAAAAGGCATGTGCTATAGGCACAAACAAATTGACATAACACACCCATATTTACCACATTGTTGGTGGACTGAACTGTCATTGAATTTCTTTATGGCAAGAACCAAAACACTGCAACGTATTGGTTTTGATCAGAATATTGTAACATCGACTCGGGGACATGCTGAATTTTGGATAGATGCCCTTGGGAAAAGTAACAGCATTTTCTGCAACGACGTAACAGTTAACCACGATAGCAAAAGTGTTGCCAATGCTGTGTATACAAAGGCTCGAAGTAATCTCCGACATTACTTATTGCGTGAAATATTGTTTAAAAAAAATTTCTGTGATATTCTCTTGCGTTAATGTTATTGGTCGACCAAATTGCATCTAAAATTCAAACATGACAGTTGTTTACCAACTACAACTCTCAACTCGCGTCGTCGAGCGGAGCTAATCATATTACTGATTGTTCGTCGTCAACGTAAACATTTTTCGACTTCTTCTTAAAAAACACAAGTCTGGTGTATTTGTTTCTTGGATAGACCATCATAGATTTATTCATTTCGTGTTGATATCTTTATTTCTCAAATTTTGATGAATGTGTTTGTCATTTTTGGTAAAAAGTGATATTTTCGACTTCTTGTTGAAAACCACTAGTCTGACTGTTTTGATATTATATTAATATGTACTACATCTGGACCACTCTCAGATTTGTTCATTTCGTGATAATATCTTTAATTCTCTAATTTTGATGAATATTTTTGCCATTTTTAGTAAAAAGCGACATTTCCGACTACGACTTAAAAACCACAAGTATGATTGATTTGATATTATACATAAAGGTACTACAGGAGGACCGCTCGCAAATTTGTTCATTTGTGAATCTTCAATTTTCTAATTGAAATGTGCATTGCTCACAGCGGAGTTATGTCAGCCGAGAGACTGCTTGTTTAAAGTTACATTTGATATCGGTGGTTATTACCTATATATGTATTTGTGTAGTTTTTCCCTGACCTTAAACATTGCTGATATTCCACTATTCTAATCAAATAATCAAATCACAATAATCACACTACCATGCTTGGGAATATTGTGAAAATTACTTCGTTTTGTAGTAGGGAAATTACATCTAAATATTATTTTCTTCGTATCAAAATAAGTTTTGAATAATATATAAGTATATTGTCGATTGTTCTCAGTTGATTTTGGCCTAATGTAGAGCTTTGGCACAGCGTACGAGAAGATAACGCAACGGAACGGGAAGACATTTACTCACTGGGGTCTCTAGAAAGAAGTTGTTCTGAATTAGACACATCATTTTGTTTTCATGAATGTTTTTAAGCCTTCTATGGTAAGAGTAATTTTAGCCTTGAAATGCTTTTTAATTTAAGTTCCTTTTTGGTTCATTTTCACTAGATTTAATATGCTAATACCACCAATTTGAAAAGTATAGAAGTTAATGGGCATTTGTTGCCAAGTATTGGACAATATACTTCACAATATGTAAGAAAATTGACAACTGGCAAACTGTAACATCCATCACATAACGTCCGTCACACATTGTTATGTAATATATTATTTGTTTGGTTTTGGGGTTTGACAGTAAATTGCAATTTGTACTTTTCTGTGACCATATTGAGATATGTAAAATTCCAAGTCTTCAGATAATCTGAAAATAAAGTTACTTTATTTAAGTCTTTTTTGATGTAATGTCTGTCACACAAATATTTCTGGTTTCCTCTAGCCGTATGTCAAGCTAAGAATATTTCCTCTTGGCATGAGAATCCTAGTGGCATAAGCAAATCTATAACACAGAGGTAATACTCTAGTAATAAGGACAACTAATAACATAACGTTCGTCGCCATGGAATTACCCCATATACTTCATTGTATTTTATGCTTGCAGTTAGTTAATATTTTCAAAATCTGAAATTCACTTTGTTTGAGAAATTTTGTGAGTAGATTTTTAGTCTCTGAACATTTTGATTGACTTCACTGAACCCAAAAGTTTATTATGCAGAAAAAAAAATTCATAGAAAGCTCATGTTGATTTTCTGGAGCGAGCCCACATGGCAGACAAGATGGCTGCTCCTTCCTGTATAGCACCAAACCATTGCAATGTCGGCGAATCTTTAGGTGGACGGACGTACAAAACGAATATAGTATTCATTGTTATTCATTAGCACTTATTGTAACTAATTGGCACTAGAAGGACCCCAGTAAACACAATATGTCAAGTGTTTCCATATATATATATATATATATATATATATATATATATATATATATATATATATATATATATATATATATATATATATATATATCAGTTCTTTTTATTTAGATCATGGCAATTTTTTGGTCAGAGCGCCCTCTAGTTTTGTGGAGAATCATGTTCATTTGGAATGCTCTGATTGGATGGAAGTTCAAGCCT